ACACAGACACAGGAATATATATATATATATATATATATATATACACACACACAGTAGGGAACAGAAAGGTCACATAATCAGAGATTGCTTAACAGCTTAGTAAAGTTATTGTGGTACCCTGGGAATGTTGGTTTAGAGTAGGGCTATTTTATTCAATTCAGATAGCTTCTGTTTGGTTATTTGTTTAAAATTAGTGGTTTGTATAGATATAGTGTGGCTTTTTTTTAGTTGCAAAGGTGGTAAAGATCAAAAACATCTAATGTAGAATTTTAGACAGTCAGTGGACATTATTTTATAAATGATGTTGATATTGTGGGATTCTCTATAATTTTTATTTACTAATGATTTTAGTTTATGGCCAGTTTTTGAGTGGATTTGATGTCAACAGGAATTTTGTTGAATAGCAAGTTTTTGCCAAGTGTTGATTATTTTTGAACTGATTTTAGTGTAATGTTTTGTTGTTGTTTGGTGTATTAGTGTAAATTTTGTTTACGAGTTGTGTTCTGAGGTTTTTATTCTGGTGGTTGAATGGAACTTTTTCAACAATTATGGAACTTTGTTGGTGTGAATGAAGGAATGCTTTATAAAGTTGATTTCTTCCTCTATGTAATCAGGTGAGAAAAGTCTTGAAAGTTTTTTAGTACACTGATGTTTTATTTGGATTCATGAATGGAATTCTAGGAGAAGTAGAGGTCTGTACAAGTGATTTTTTTCATGAATTTTGAACTGTGTTTCACATCTTATAACGTCAATGTTAAGAAAAGATAACTGCTTGTTATTTTCATGTTCAATGTTAAATTTAATGTTAGGGTGAATGGAGTTTTTGTGTTCAAAGAAAGTGCATATGCACTCAGTAGAAATGAAACCAGCAAAAGTGTCATTGACATATATGTAGCAGTATAGGGGAGGCTAAAGCACAGATTGTACGGATCATAATTATGTTGGCAAGAACATGTAAAACAGGGTTGCCCATGCTTAAACCATCTGTTTGAAGAAAGTTTTTATTGTTGAAAATTAAGTTGGTTTTTGTTGTGAATTCTAATATGGAAACAAAAAGTGTACTGGGGGTATGAATTAGAAGATTGTACTAGAGGTATGAATTAAAAGATTAATATTATAAGCTTCCTTGATGAGTACTTCAGTGAAAAGTGACAACATGAAAATCAAAAAAATATTCATGAGCTTACGTACTGTTAGTTTAATATATATAATCAAGTTTCAATACAATACAATTACTAGAAATGAACAAACAGTACAAACACGAAACTAGTTTTACTTTTAGTGTCCCATTAGTACTTTGACTCAATTTGAGTCAAGTTAAGCCATAGCCTGTAGTGCTGTACTTACAATTTACATTCTGTTAAGTGTAATTGTAACAAAGTTCACGTCTAGTATTAATATTATTAATACGCAAATCCATACGCAATTATATTTTCAATTATGCAAAATCATTACCATTACTTCTTAATTTAGGCTTCAACATTTAATTGGTGAAGATTGTGATTTATAATTTTAGCTTGAATTTGAAAAAAAAAGCGATTAAACCCAAAATAAAAAAAAAGACAAAACATAGCAAATATTCACGTGTCGTCAAAATTATTTATATTGTTTAAATTAATTAAAATATAAAACATTACTTACCCAAAATATAACATTAAAGCCAAATATTAAATACTTTAAACAACAACTTATTTCACTTTTGTCTCGTCTATGCTTCCTCCCTGGCATTTTATAACTCGCTTTTGACGGATTGACGATGAAGTAGGGTCAATAGCAGCAAAAAGCCCTCTATCAGTCTACGAACTTTTAGAATAACTCATTTATTTTGTCGCTTATTGTGATCGAAAATACTTTTCAGACATCATTATAAATACCGCGAACATTCTTTGTTCTAATCAATTAATCAAACCAATATTGATAAACATATATTCTAAATGTGTAGCTTAGATGTAGTAATTACCTTTTCTAACACTTCTCTCTCTGCCTTGAAAACAAGTGTTATGGCCTACAGCTAGTTTCCAAATGTATGCACAAGATTAAAGCAACGAATGCGATGTTTAAATTCATTCAAGTGAAGTTTAATTAAATTAAGATAACCTATTCCTTTTGTCCCTGATCCAAGAATATGAATGCAACTTTTTTCATATTTTCGAGCTTATTTCGAACAGTGTGATCATGGTTGATTGCGGCATTACCAGTTTGGAAACATTCTTGTCCGTTAATGTAAAAATACTACAAACAATGAAGGAGAAAGGTTTTGTAAACTGTTTAAGACTGTTTTCTTCACCAATTGGTCAAGGAATCTACTAAAAAGAATGTCATTTTAGATTTATTGTTAACTTCTAATATGGAAATGGTTAAGAGGGTAAAAATTGAGGGAACATCTGAGTACAATTAAGTGATCATTGCTCTATTAGGTTCGATGTTTTGTTGGTTATGGAGATCAGGAATAATTATATTGTTACGTCTCCGTTTGTTAAT